GATGCAACCGGTGCAGTTCCATGGTGGATCAAAGCATATAGCCATTTCTGTTGATAGAAAGCATCTACAATTGAGTAAAAAATTGACCAGGCCACTCCATGGAACTGGCTCACAAGCTTGATGCTAATTACAAGCTCAACAAAGTTCGTGCAGGCATTGCCAAAGGGTATACTCAGCTGACGCCCCTGACCTAATTTTGGATGTGCTGCCATGAGGGGTTTGGCACTGGCTGGCAATGGCTGGCACTGGCTTTGACTTCTTCTCGGCCTCCGTCAATCAGCCAATTGTTTTGGAATCCTCTCATCAAGCTTGAGAGAATCACGGAAGTAGCCACATTGACGCCGAGTTTCAGATGTCCTTCTGGCCCAGGAAGAGCTGACCAAGAGATACCTGTGTCACCCGACCGAAGAAACGATAGCAAAGCGTATGAGTGGTCTGCGGCAGAGATAGTCTGTGCCTCTAGCTTGGAAGGGGTGAGTCATGGGCAAAACCTTGTGCACGACTCGCTTTCTGAGAGAGCTAATATGTTGTTAGCAGATGGCCGAAGATCCACTGCCCCTCTCGGGTGTACATGTGCCTGTGTGCAGCATGTAGTCAAAAGCAGGCTTGGCAACGTGGCAGTCACCAAGCCAGAAGCCAGAAGTGTTTGCGATGGCTCTTGCATAGGGGGGGTTTCACCTTGGTGTCCTACTGTCATGGATGATAGGGCTTGTTCTGGGGGAGTTGGTTTAATCAACTCACAACGTTCCACACCGCACTGGCTCGAGATTCCAACTGCTTATTTTCAACCACAATTTGTGTCTGGTTAGCCTTGTGTATATGTGTGTGTTCCAACTTAAACATTGGCATGTGCGTCAAACCCCCCCCAAAAAAAAAAAGGAAACTGAAAAGTTATTGAAAGTAAAGGCCCACGGCCTTGTGGACGATGAAAGGGGGACCAATGATTTGTGACAACTGGCAAGTCAGGGCATCCAGCAAAATCACGGAGACTAGTTTGCAAGGTCTCAGATGATCATGTAGTTTACTTGGCAGGTGGTAAGAGGCATGGGTGGGAGTTAAGGCACCACGAAGATGGATGTGACGGTGCTTTGTCCATGCAGGCTATCAAATGACTTTGAATAGCTCCGATCTAGTAAATAGTAAGTTACTTATTCCTGTGTCCCTTGCCCAAGTTTCCTGTTACCCAGATTTGGGTTGACTTGACAATCAGTTCGCCCCAACCTGCACGTGGAGCTTTTGTGTCCAGATACCTGGAAGGAGTCAGAGGACTTTGGCATGTTGCAGGCGTCCATTGATCGAAGTGGTGCTGTCAATCCTCCCAGGACCCCGACAGGGCAGGGAGTAGGAATCATTCGAGGAATCATTGGCATGAAGATTGAGCATAGGCTGATGAGCACAGGCCCCGCACTTTGCTTACGCTGCTTCCAGGCCAAAGTGTTAGCACAACTGTCAAACCACATGCAAACTTCCGGCCTTGATGCCTTGCTGGCACAAGACTCCATGGTGTGTGGAGTTGCAGCTTCCGCACTACGATCCAGGCTTTCCGTAATTGTCATGTCGCTCCGCAAGCCACAGAGTTTGGGCTACAGATGTTCAACCTGAAGCATATCCTCAAAAATCCTGAGGTCAAAGCCCAGATGTTGATTCAAAGCCCCGATGCGTGCTCCCAAACGACTCCAGGACCTGACCGACGAGGAGTGCTTAAGTGCCTTAACCATCACGAGGACAACATGACTTTTACTGTCGCCAACTTGAATCACACCTCTGAGCTATTGGCCAAGTCACCACATGTTCTCCCCAAGCCGATGTAAAGACGGACAGGATATTGCTCATCACTGACTTGCCCGACTTTAGGGCCCGTCCCGCCACCGCCATTTACGTCACAGCTCAGGGCGGCCGGCAGAATCCGCTTGGCCGTGGCTCCGGCTTGGCATCGTGCATATCTCGATGGGCCTCCCGGATCGCAGATGAAGCTGTCAGGCCACGGCCGCAGTGCATGGCATGTGACACGCCGCTGCAGGGCCCCTTCTGTGCAGTGCCGCTTCCGCTTTGGCACTTCAAGGGCCACACTGGCTTCAGCTACCAGTGTAGTATAGTGACTACTTGGAAGAACATTGACAAGAAGGTTGTTCCCTCTGTTCGTGTGAAGGTGGCAGGGCCAACAAGAGGACTCAAACGACAACTCGATGGGTTTGAGCAAAGTGCACTGAATAGCATGAAGACAAGGCCCAGCAACGGTCGACGCGGGTCCTCTGCCTCGCCGCCCCGGCCCTGTGGCTTTCTCGCCGCCTCTTTTGACTCGGAGCAAGCAACGTGCAAAAAGCAACGTGCAAAAAGACCGGTGCCCAGTCCCGAGGTGTGTTCGAGTTGCCAAGCGAAGTGAAACGCGGCACCCCTAACATGACGCATAGTCAGTGGTCAGTGCTGATGCTGGTGCGATTGGTGCCAGGTCGAGGCCATTCGCTCGGCCAGTGCGGCCAGTGAAGGCCTGTTTGGTGAGCTGAAGACCACGATCATGAGGGTGGAGGATTTGCAAGTCCAGGCTGGTCTTAAAGGGTCTTCCTGTGTGTGGCCAGGACTCGGGGGATGCAAGCTGCTAGCTGCTAGAAGAAGATGAAGTGGCACCCATCAATCACATAACTGGTGCATCCACCGAGGTCTACTGGTCCCATCTTGTCCCTCAGAAAGGTGGGGCGCCCCACAGACGCCAGGTGAATCGCCTCTCAAGAGACTCCAAGAAAGGCTCTGAGAAGATTGAAGGTGCCGTCAGCCGTTTGCAGGCGAACACTGGGTGTCGTTTGTTCGGTCAGATGGTAGGGCCCTGGCAGGGGAGGATCTCAGAACCTTTGGTTGTGAGTGCGTGCCTGGTTCAATCGTGCTGACATGCGAGTGCTAACAGACCGAGAGACATGCAGTGGAGTGGTCATACAGATCCATCTAGCCATCCATCTAGCCATGCATCCAAGCGAGGGGAGTCTTGGAAGTCCAACCGGCGTCAGGACATGGAGAGGACCCTGGAGCGCCTCAGCAAAGCCCGTGAGAGCTCCGAGCTTTGGCGGGAAGTGAGGGAGCTGAGGCGAGGGATTTCCCGGGTGGGATGCGGGGACGCTACAGGCCAAGATCAAAGCTCTACATGGCTTCACACTCCACACATCCTATCTCATACTATCACATACTACAGGCCCATGACAGCAGACTTGCAAGTGATGTGAGGAAGAATTTGGCCAGCTTGGGCGATGCGTCTCCAAGTGGTTTGGAGCCTTGCAGCCGAGCTGGCATATCATAGTCCTATAAAGTATATATATATAAGTTATATAAGTCCACGATAGCGCCAGCTTGAAGAATGGATGAGTTTGGGATGGTAGCACCAATGTTCACTATCAAACAAGCTATTCCAGGGATTGAAGGAAATCTCCGCCATTCCCCTTCCTGCTTTCTCTAGGGCTAGACTTTAGGGGTTTTCTTAACTAGTAGTAACAAGAAGCTAGTAGAAACAAGTGCCACGCTACTAGTAACAAGTGCCTGACTAGTAGTAACAAGAAGCTAGTAGTATCCACCTAATCACTCCCGGGTTGACCTCCCCCCTCGGACCAGTCGCCAGCGGACGCGGAACGTCGTTCGTCCCGACGCTCCCCGTTCGTAGCGTCCTTGTTACTAGTAGTAAGGCACTTGTTACTAGTAGCGATGCACTTGTTCCTAATAGATTCTTGTTACTAGTAGTAAGGCCAGGAGCCCCTAGCCTAGTAGCGATGCCCTTTGTTCCTAGTAGCGTCCTTGTTCCTAGCAGGTCGCAAATCTCGGAGCTGAGACTTCAGGGCTTGATCCGTAGTCCGAGGACAGCACCGCCACGAAACTCCGGGAGTTCGGAAGGGGGGTCGGTTGGGCCCGGTTGGGATTGTTTTTGTTGAAGAAATCAGAAGTCCAATTCTATGGGTGTGTGTTATGAGATGCTTTCCAGAAATTGACTTCGAGTTCTGAGAGGATACGGGGCGATTCTGCGTTGAACCTAGTGGCTGTTATTGGCTTGGAGTTCTTCGAAAGCATCTGACTTTCGTTCATGTTGTCTTTGTCAAGGCTGTTTTTGGAGGGCAACTATGCCAACTTGCAGAAAGGTTACTGCAATTAGGACCTTGGACCAGCAACAGGGCTTAGGTCTCAAAACCTCACACGCTACCTCAAGCTCAAACACAAAAAGGCCAATGCAGCAATCCCAGAGTGATTGAGATCATCCTGTTTGACGCAAGGGGTTTGTTCCTCTTGACGGTTGCCTCGCACAGCCTTTGCGCCTCCTGCGCAGAGGAGTGGTGAAACGCAACGACTGGGATGGTTAGAACCATGAGGAAAACCAAGGCACCGCTGCAGTTGGGAGTGACGCGTCCTTGCTTCTAGTAGTAGCGATGCCAGGAGCCCCTAGTGGCTTCTTGTTACTAGTAACAAAGCCCGGAGCCCCTAGTAGCGTCCTTGCTCCTAGTAGCGATGCCAAGAGAATCATTATGAAAATTAGACAACATGCCTCAGGGGCCCGACAAATCTGTCGCAGGGTTTGGGCTACTTGATGGGCAAAAGCCGACAGCGCCTCTCCTGGGCATTCTTTGCTCATTTCAGTGCACATTTGCCAGGCCAAAGAAGCCAAAGAAGACATTTATTGTGGACTCTGAGTCTGCCCCAGCTGGCTTTTGTTTTGATGAGCGCGACCGAGGGACTCAGTGTTGCAACAAGACAGGTTCAACAAGGTTCCTTTCCTTCTTCAACAACACTTTGATGGATTCATGATGTTTTACTGCCATTCAAGTTGAGTAGCGCACTTTTCAAGCAAAAGAAGGTCAGTTCTTACCCGCACCCTGGGATAAAATGTCCCGGTGGACCTTTTGGTGAGCGGGCGACCTGTTAAAAGAAGGGCATGGCGGACGAACACTCGCTTGCCCATCGTAGAGGCCACGTTCGCCTGCCGCAGCCAGTTTGCACCTCGCCAATTCAACGGACATTCCTTTGTGAAACAGGTGCCTCAAGGAACCAGAGAATGTGTCCAGCCTGAGAGTGTGATCCTTTTCTTGGGGGCCATGGCCTTAGAGTCAGCAACAGCATTGTATTCCCCAAGATGCTGAGGCAGCCAATCTTGGGTTTGGCTTGCAGCTGTCATCCTTGACTGCAGAGATTGGCGGTCCCACCACTGAGCTCATCGGTTTCAGGTCTACCCCAGAGGATTGGGCTTCATTGCGCTGGCAGAACTGCAGCGTTCGGGCCCGAGAGGGAAGGGCCCAGACTGACAAGTTGTGAAACACCTAGAATTTCGAGACTACTTCAAGTAGGACTTGTCATCGGTCATGTATGGTCATCTCCATTCACCAGAGCAACCTTCAGAAAGCGCGGGAATGGCATTTTTGAGAAAGCTGCAGCCGCTTTCCGAGTATGCAATTTGCTGAGTGAAATGACCTACCTGTGATGTGGACCTTCCTCGGGTGGAAAATTGTGCCCATGAGGTGGAGGCACTTGTTTGAACAATTGAGTGCTCAATTGACCCCTGTGCCAGTGGCAACATCCTCCCTCCCGAAACCTGTTTCAGACTGGCACCATAAAATGATTGAATGCTTCAAAACAATCCCTCATTGAGGAACTTGTGCATTCTTTGCTTAATTGACCGTGTAGCTGCTCAAAGTGCCTTGTCGTTTTAAGACAAGCCACGACCTTTGAATCGCTTCAACTACGAGCAAACCATAAACAAACAGACAGCTATCCAGTTCTTCTCAGGTGAGAATTGCAGCGTGCTGGCCCACACAGAGGAGAGGGTCATCAAGGAATGCATGCAGAATCATCTCTCCAAGACCAGGTGAACAGTCTGCGAGATTGTTGAACTAAGCAAACTAAGCAAAGAAGTTCACTCAGCCGCACCAACTCCAAGACTGTTGCAGACCAGTTTTCTTGCGGGCTACCAGCAGCTTGGCGTCGTCAAGAGCATTTGGCTTACGTGAAGTCTAAATCCCGGTAGTGCAGCAGGAACACTGCGCCATCCTCTTCCACTATGCGGAGGAGAGGGTACTCATACTGTACGGTATAGGTATGATTATTATAGTCAAGTCCATGTTTACGGACAAGCTGCAACAGCTCCGAAATATATGTTGGATGCTTCCGGGCTTACATGTTTGTACCTGGACAAGCGCGTTGTAGCCACAGTGGGAGCATGTTCGGATCATGTACCCGCCTTCACTCATATCAGGACTTGCCGCACGCAGTAGCACAAGAGATCAATGAAACCTCGAAGCAACGACTCAAGTCCAAAGTGACAGCTCTCAACAAGCAGACACCAAAAAAGACAACTCATCACCTGAAGCCTGCACGGACATCACAAAAGCTCCGCGAAACACTACTTTGCTGCATCACTGATGACTTCACATGCGCAGTTGCAGATCGTCAATTAACAAAACAGCATGCATGGAATAGAGCGGTTGCATCATTTATACAACGCCAGAGCACTGTGACCATTCCCCTCCATACCAAGGGAACATCGCCTGTATCGATGAAACGCACGCATATGTCACACACACATGCATATGCGATATGCACATCACGGCGTTCTTCGTCGGAGAGCTGGGACGCTCCGACGAAGACCCAGCTCCGACAGTTCACCTCAGGAGACCGTTCTGGAGCTGGGCGGGGGGGGCCTTTGAGGGCCGTTGCGGAGTCCAGCGGTTGGCACAGTGATGCGGAGTCGGCGATGAACACGACTGGAGAAGCGGATGGCTTTCACTGGCTTTCACTTGAAGAAGGACTTTGTGCACAACAAACCAATGTCCTGCCTCATCCATCCAGTGACTTGCAAAAATGCAAGGGTAAAGAAGAAGTAGGCAAGCTAAGATTTCTGAATCGGAGGAATGCCGCATGCTTACCTGCCTTCAAGAATCTTGGGCCCAGGTTCGTTCCTGCTGCTGTGCGAAGTTCCTGGTGGTTCAGGGCCCCACCCTTGGAGTGGCTTGCTGCAGAAACACCCTGCTGCAGATAGCCGTTCCAAAGCTCAGGTTCGGTCCCCTGACAACCCTGCCGTGCGGGCCCACGGGATGCTTTGAATGTTTCGGAGCATCGGTCTTCCAAAGCATTTTGTTGCGGATATGCAATTAGGTAGGCACGACTCATGACTCACGTGATTAGCTCATGACTCATGATGGTTACGACTTCCATGCCACCTCAAAGCACGTTGGACATGTTACAGCTTCCATTTCACGCTCCAGAGCTCCCCACCATGCGAAAGGGGTCTGGCTTGGCCAAGGCCGCAGCCCTCTCTTCAAGACCTCTCATCTGTGGCTGAGATGCAGGCGCAGCCTGGCTCAGTGCCGATACGCATAACGTGAACATGTGCATGGTGATGCACCTGGCTTCATGCCGCCGATGCAAACTTGTTGGAGCCTTCCATGCAGCTTCTGGCATCCTCGTGGCAAGTGCAATACTTTCTGCAAAGCAACGAGGCGCATGCCACTTCGATTGTATCACAAGAACGAACAGCCAACCTTGCATATGTTCTTCGCATCATCATGACAATTGTTTCCGGGCTTGCGGCTTGTTGCTGGTGGATAATTAGGCCTTTGGTCATTTGGGTTCAGCTGCTTTGCTTTGCCTCCTTTTGGTTCCAGCCTCGGTCGGTCTGCCTAAGTCGGGCGGGACCGCTACGCTTCGCTACACTCAGAGAGGGCATAGAGTCAGCTATTTGCTCCGTTCAGGGGTGGGTCTTAAACTTAGGTCAGTCCAGCCAGGTGTCTCAATCAACTGCCACCCCTTCGACGGTCACCGACCACTCCAACCGCAACCAGCATGTGTTCGTTCAGTTCGCCATGCTTCACTAGTTCACTGGCGGTTGGGCGCTGCCTTGCATGGCCCATGGTGGCCAACATGCATTGGGGATGGGCTGAGGCAGCTGGCGGCTGGTGATGCCTAGACGTGAGTCTGTCTCATTGGGGAGATGTTTGAAGTACAACATCGGCTCCTTCCTAGCAGTCTTCGTATTGGGACCGGCCTGGGCGAAGCGTGCGAGAGCCGGGACGCTTGAAATAGCACAGCACAATATAAATCATAAGCTTTGCGCTTCTTTCACCTGCTTTTTGTCCATCAAAGATGGCGTCGGTGGTACCGGAGCAAATCTGGATGCACTCAAAAGGCTCACATGCTTAGTTTTTGAAAATATAGATTGAGGATGTGTGCGTCGAAATCATTGCATGGCTTTTTTCTTAAAGCTTTGTTGATGGCAGGATGGCTGGCCCTACAGCAGCGAATCCTGAGCCCCTGCCCTGATGCTGGACTCCAAGCCTCACCACTGCGAGCACTTCGAAGCGACCAGGAAGATGAGGTGGGCCAGCTTAGGTCCCAACCTGTTGATTTCTCAAGAACGGATGATGGGGGCAATTGGCCCACTTCCTGAAGTCATGCGGTCATTGCCATTCTCATGGAAGAGTTTGAAGGTTCGCCGCAACTTCGTTACTTCGTTCTGCTTGTTTGTTTTGAAGCATGACTTGCCTAGCTGATAGGAGGACGCAGAATTGCTCCGAAATTGTGTCCAGCAAAGTGAGTTGGAGCTGTGCTCGCACAGCTCAGGTGGAGACCAAAGCTGAGAAAGGATCAGACGTTGCGGAGGCCCCATTGCAAGCTGCCAAAGAAGCGGACAGGTATGATCAAGCTGCCAAAGAAGCGGACAAAGATGATCACACCGGCGGACCAGCTGTGGAACGAGAAGGCAACCAAGATCGACAAGCTGAAGGATCCAAAGGCCTATGGGCATCATGGATTCGCACCTAAGAAGTTTTCGCACCTGGTTTAACCTGGTTTGGTGTTTTGTCTTTTTTCTGTGTGTGTGTGACATTTGTTTTGACCTGTGACGCGCATCCCTTAGCCCAAAAGCCGTTTTGGGACTCCACTGGCATTCCAACGGTCTGTTGGGTCAAATGAAATCCCCACAGACGTGGTCACACCCTGGTCATTCACGGCAAAGAAGCTTGCTCGCCCCAAGATGAACAGAAGTCTTGACCTCAGATGGACATCATCTTTTGGTTTGTGCTAGAAGCTACTCGTAGCAAAGGGCATCGCCACTAGGAGCAAGAAGCTACTTGTAGCTCCTGGCATTACTACTAGTAATAAGAAGCCTTCGGACTTCGCCTTGGTGCCCAGGTCTTTTGCGCCCCCCAGTGGCAGGATTGCACGTGCCAGGGCCGAGTTCGTTGGGGCAACGAGGAGACCTGGCTGGTGATGACGCCGAAGGATGCGAAGCCTTTGACAGTGACCTGCAGCGTGCAAGTTCTTGAAGATGTCCTTCCAGGCAAGGATCCTGGAAGATGTCCTTTTGCCGTTATGGAGTTTGGTCCTGGTTCCAAAGAGGAAAGGGAAAGAAAACTGTTCGAATTGGAGCCGGTGTGCACCCACTTCGCCGTTGGCATTCGATGCCGAGTTTGGCATCGATTTGTCCATTCGAGCCTGAGGTGATGATGGCAAACATTGCGAGTGCGAGATCATCCTGGGCAGTGCTTTCCACAAGGGCTTGAACCCAATGTGGCTGCCAGAGGTGGAGGACAGGCCTTTGTGATCGTTCGAGCTTGAGCTACCAGACTGGTGGCTTCACAATGCACCCTGCAAAAGAAGTATGATAGTGAACTTTGTCCAGAAGAATCCAATCCCAGACAAGGGTGGTTGCTTGGACCTGTTGGAGTGCTGTGAAGGAGGACAAGGCGCCGCTGGTTGCCTCCTGCCAACTGTGGGAAGAAGACAGAGGAAGTCGCTGGGGACAGGAGCAGTGGAAAGCTGTCGAGGCATTTTGTTCACAGGCGCATGGGATAGAACCGCAGAAGAAGCGCCGGTGCGGTAATCCATAGCATGTGTAGGACATACACACTTACTTGCTTGATCCTTGTGCTTGAGGGTCCCCGATGTCAAATCCTTGATAACATTGAGTGAGCACTGAGCAGGTTTGAAATCGCCGACATTCGACTTGAAGTGCCGTGAGAGCAGGATTGGTCTGGCGAGGAGCCTGGAGAACGGACGATCCCTTTGGAGACAATGCGGCAGCTCATGGAAGCACGTGTGGACCCGCGGTTCCGAGAGGTCTATCAGACACTTGGCCCGTTTTTTGCAGATGCCGGGTTTGATAGGTCCAAGAAAGTTGAATGGATGTTTTCCGGGTATATATATATTATATATATATATATATCACGAAAGGTAGCGGTTACGCTACCTGAGTTTTCCTTTTGCTTTAGCAAAAATGTATTAACCCAGAGCTGCAGCCTATCTCTCGGAGAAATGGTCCCCGACATCTTCGTTTGCT